CCCTGGAAACCGATATCACAGTGGCAGGCGTACGTTGTCTGCAGGTTCAGGCAGGATGCATTAGCGTGACACTTGTGGCCCTTCGCGCAGTAGTCCACTCCTGGTTAAATTAGTTGTTAGCCAGACGAATGCAAAGGCAGTTAGAACATTAGAACGTTGAAATATTAGACATCAGAATTAGACATTAGAAGATTAGACATTCGTCGTGTTCACTTTTTCGGCTTTCGGTTTAGTTTAGCTTAGTTTCACATGCCATTCGACGTGCTTTCATATGTCACAGTAAAATGGAGGGATTTTTTTTTTTTTTTTTCTCTCTTCTAGAGAACATTTCGTACGTAATGCGAGTATATCGTGGAATGACATGCAGCGTTTCTTTAATCAGGGAGTTCCAACGATGAATTACGATCGAATAATCGCTGTTCACAGTTGCGACAAGTGTTCACGATAAAAGAATGCTTGTATGAATAACAGTACCTGGACAGAACTTGCAGCATTCCTCTGCTACGCTAATCTGCTCGCTCGGTGGACAGGGCAGCGGTGGACATTTTTTATCCGTGTCGAACCTGTGACAAGTGAAGCTGCCGTCGAAACAGTCGCACTGCACGCACTGCTTCGGCGAGACTCTCTCGCCGTGATCGTAGAGCACTCCGTACAGGAAGCATTGCTCTGGGGATAATCATCAATGAAGAAAAGATCAATAAACTAGAGAGGCATTTAAGGAAACATTGCTGTGGAGCAATTTCAAAAAGAATCTCGAAACCTTAGTATTAATTTGCTAATTAAAGTTACAAAAATTACAATTCAATTGTACAATTATATTTAATAATTACTATTACCATTGGTAGTACCTGAAGATGTCAAGAAACAAGCATTCTTCTGGCTATATAGCTTGGGATAATTTACCTTCAAAATGGTGTGAAAGATGTCGGTAATTTTGATGAAGAATTCATATCAGAAAAATAACCATAACTTCACTTGACGATTCAAAACGAAATCTATACTTAAAGATTTATGGCTGATGGTGCTAGCGACAATATTAATTGTCTTTTCGCTAAATTTGATACGCAAATCGTCTATTTGCAATTTAATTCAATTAATCACAGAGTAATTTAATGCGTACTTAAGCAAATGGGACAGCATTGCCCCTTAGGAATGACAGGGTTCTTGCAGTTGACGGGCGCGCAGGGTGTCTGCCTGCATTCGATCTCCCCGTGAATGCAGGAACACTGTTGGCAATCCTTCTCCCAGGTTGCACCATCCTCGTGGACGGTGCCGTTTGCCCTGCATGACTTTTGGCACTCGCACTCCTCCACTTTGCTTATCCTGCCCTCTGCAGCGGCTAGCTAAAAGGAAGGACGTTGAATGAGTGAACACCACACGATCGTCTAGGGGGCTCTTCCCCCCCCC